TAATCCCAGACGTTAGCAGGTAAACCTCACCGTAACAGGACCACTCAGTTCATTCGGGAGCATTTAGCTCTGTTTCCAGGCATTGTGGAAGTCCTAGATGGGTCCCCATGGTCTCTAGCACAGCGAGCAGCTGTTCAGTGCACAGGTTTTGTGCGGGCAGAGCTAATCTGGAGTGCCAGCTTGGCCTCACCAGCTGCTCTGACTGGGGAAAACAAACTAACCTTTCTAGGCCTTGGTCTCCCTACCAGTAAAATGGGGGTCATAATGCCTAGTTCAGAGTGTTGTGGTGATAAATACGTTATATATAAAGGATGTGTTAGTTATCTACTGCCGCATGACAAATTACCCCCCAACATAGTGGCTTAAAGCAACAAGAAGTCTTTTTATTATCTCATGGTTTTTGAGGGTCAGGAATTTAGGAGTGGCTCAGCTGGATGGTTCTGGATGGAATTTCTTTTTTAAAAAATCATCTGTTTTTAAGTTTATTCACTTGAGAGAGACAAACAGACAGAGGATGGGTGGGGGAGCGGGTAGAGAGAGAGAGAGAGAGACACAGACACACAGTATCTGAAACAGGCTCCAGGCTCCAAGCTGTCAGCACAGAGCCCGACACAGGGCTTGAACCCACGAACCATGAGATCATGACCTGAGCCGAAGGTGGATGCTTAACCGACTGAGCCACCCAGACGCCCCTGGATGGAACTTCTCATCCAGTTCAGCCCAATGGCAGCCTGGGCTGCAGTTCATCTGATGGATAGACAGGAGCTGGAGGAACCACATCTAAAGTTGGTCACTATGTTAGGTCGAGAAGTTGGTGCTTAGCAGGATGTCTTGGTTCCTCTCCACACAGGCCTGTCTACAGGACTTGTAGAGTGTCCTTGGTGCATGGTGACTGGCTTCCCCGAGTGCAATCCATCCAAGGACCAAGGCAGAAGTTGCAATACCTTTTACCACTTAGCCCCAGGAGTCGCACATCACCACCTCCACTGTATTCTGTTGGTCGTACAGGTCAGTCCTGATTCAACACAGAAGGGGACCATGTAAGCACATGCACGCTGGGAAGTGAGGATCGTGAAGGGCTGCCTTGGATGTTGGCAACCAAAGGGCTTGCCCAACACCTAACTAAATGGCAGCTGCTAAGAGGATTATGATTCTCTGCTTCGTATCATTTCCACAAAGAAAGAACGCTTCCTTGTCTTTTGCTCTAAGGGCCAACCATTTCTTCTCTCCTCTCACGTCTAGTGGCCCGCCAGACCCATGGTGACGTCAGGAAGGGCAGCACCCCGTGGCCTCACTCCAATACCTTAAAGATAAACTCTGAGACTTTTAGCCCCCTCTGTTTCTTTCCTCATTTATGTAATGAGACTCCCTCACAGCACTTCTGGATTTCTCTGATGATTTGAATGCTGTAGCCAGTCATGATCGGCAGGACATAAGCAATTGCTGAAGCAGGAAAGATGCTGACTTCTGGTTTATGGTCCAGCTCTGCTAGGGAGAAAGCAGTGACCCCGATCACCCCCGTGGCAGGGCAGAGATTGTGCTAGAAATGGAAATGTGTCGTTAAAAGGCAACTAAAGAGCAGTGTTTGTCAGCAGCAGCCCCAAGTACCCGGTGACTTTCCTTTGCAGGTGCTATGCATTCGATGAGACTCTGGTTGGCTAGTGATAGGATGGTCAATGACACCTCGGTGAGAGAAGCTGCCAGTTGTTTTCCAAGATCAGTTTTTCTTTTCTTCCACGGTTAGAGAACCGCCAATCATGAACTGGGAACAAGATATCCCAGAATAAAAATTACATTCATCAGGCTCCCTTGACAAAGCTCTGGTCAATGGGAGATAGTGGAGGTCATGTATGCAACTTCTGGAGAGGGAGCAGGTATCTCTTCTCTTATTCTTTTCTTCTGGCTGGAATTCTGATGAAATGATTGGAGCTCCAGGAGCCATTTTGGACCATGAGTTGACTTTGGGAATGGAAGCCATTGTGGCAGAGCAACAAAGAGAATAAAGCTGGGTCCCTAACACCACAGAACTCTCTTCTAACTCTGGGCTGCCTACCTCTAGATCTCTTAAACATTAGAAAGAAATGAACTTTTCATTTAAAAAAATCATTCTTTGTTGTTTTTTTTTTCTGTTACTTTACAACAAACCTAACCCCAACTGGCACAGCTTCCTGTTGCCATGGCCATTATTACAGTTCTTGCACATGACCTGCCACCAGGCATGCGTTTACATGTTACTGGAAAGTCTGCAGAAATGATCCCAGGAGGAAAAAGATAAACCATTGTTTATATTTTCATGCAACATTTATTGAGCACCCCCTGCTATATGCAAGGCACTGTGAGGGGTTCCAAGATGAACTAAGCCGGGGTGACTTAGTCGGTTAAGCATCCAACTCTTGATTTCAGCTCAGGTCATGACCTCATGGTCGTGAGATCAAGCCCCATGTCGGGCTCTGAGCTGAGTGTGGAGTCTGCTTGGGATTCTCTTTCTCCTTCTCTCTCTGCTCTTCCCCCATTCACCCGTGAACTCTCTCTAAATAAATAAATAAATAAATAAGCATTTAAAAAAAAAGATGACTGGGTCTCATCCTACAGACCTCACCTACCAAATTACACGGAGGAGGTCAAGCAGCTGTATGTTGAGTTTGTTTTGAGTTTCTCTTCTATCTGGGCCCCCTGTTGCCATCACTTTGTTTCTTCATACATTTCATTCATTCATTCATTCATTCGACAAATATATATCAAGAACTTTACCATGTCAGGCATCGTGACAGGTGCTGGCATCATAATGACGGACTAAAGCAGGGGTGGTACATGTCCTCGTGAAGCTAGCGGCCTAGGGTGATGCAGAGCAGTGTGGCTATACTTTGGGTTCCTTTGCCTTAAAAAAAAAATTATAATAACATTACTTATTTATTCCCAAAATGATATATATTCAATAAGTGAACAGAAGAAAATAATCTCATACAGTTCAGAAACAAATACTGCTAACAGTTTGCTATGTTTCAAAAGCCTTAGTGTAAATATCCTTTTTCTCACCTTGGGAATACTTTGTTTTGGGCCTGGCTTTTTTTACTTAATAGCATATCGTGAACGTTTCACCATGACAATAAACATACTCCTACAACAGCAGTTTGAGAGGGGCCTATGTTTTACACTGAACAGAGCTATGTAATTTATGCAATCCCCTATTGGACGTGTAGTCAGGACTTAATTTTCACAATTATAAAGGGGTACTATAATGAATATTCCTATAGCTACACATTTTGTATACTTATGATTATTTCCTTGGGGTAAATTCTTAAAAGTAGAATTGCTAGATCAAAACGTATGTATAATTCTGGGACTCCTGGGTGGCTCAGTTGGGTAAACATCCAACTTCAGCTCAGGTCATGATCTCGCGGTTCATGGGTTCGAGCCCCGCGTTGGGTCCTGTGCTGACAGCTCGGAGCCTGGAGCCTGCTTCGGATTCTGTGTCTCCCTCTCTCTTTGCCCCTCCCCCACTCACACTCTGTCTCTCTCAAAAATGAATAAACATTAAAACAAGATTTTAAAAACTGTATGTATAATTCTAAGAGTTTGGTACAAACCTAAATTAACTTTAAGTGGTTAGACAAATATAGTCTCTCCCTCAGAGGCCAAGAGTTCCACTGAATTCTTTTTTTTTTTTTTTAATTTTATTTATTTATTTTGAGGGAGAGAGAGAGAACCCTAGCAGGGAAGGGCCGAGAGAGAGAGAGAGAGAGAGAGAGAGAGAGAGAGAGAATCCTAAGCAGGCTCTGCACTCACAGGGTGGGGCTTGAACCCACTAACCCTGAGATCACGACCAGAGCTGAAACAGAGTCAGACTCTTAACCAACTGAGCCATCCAGGTGCCCCTCTTTTTTTTTTTTTTTTTTAATTAATATAATGACTTAGAGAGGACTCCCATAACTTGACGAATCCCTTATATCTTCACACGATTCCTTTTTCAGACTGCTTTCCTTCCCAGAGGAAAGAGCAGAGCTTCTGGAGAAGTCAGGAATCTGGCCAAGGGCACAGAGACATGGGCCAGGCCTGGTAACAGCAGCCCTAGCAAAAGTCCTCCTCTACAATCAGACCTGCGTGACTCCTACCGAATGTTCTTTGAGCTGATGAAAATGCACATTATGCTCATTCATGAGGCAGAACGCTCTGATTCAAGCTCTCAACCCCCCTGGCAACAGTTTAGCAAGGATGGTGCCACATCCCCTTCACTGAATTCATCTCCTCTCCCTTTTCCTCCTCACTCCCATTCTTTGCCACCAGATTATTATTTTCCAAAACAAACAAACAAACAAACAAAAAGACTTTCCTGGATTTCCTGTCTTGAAAACGATACGAAGACACGCAGAAAAAAATAAAATAAAAATCACCTCCAAATATTGCTCCTTAGCGATACGACCTCTGTTTGTACATAGGCGAACAGCTTTCCAGATGTCTCTCTGGACATCTCGAAGCTCCAATTATAGCTCCCAATTAGTGTTTAATCTTACAACAAATTCATGAGATGGGCCACATTGCCTTTCTTTTATAATTACGAGAAACGAAGTGTTAGAGATGTCCAGTTACTTGCTCGAGGTTATGTGGGGAGCTGGGATTTGATCTCACTCTTACTCCAAAGCCTGTAGGTCTCACCCATTGGGTGATTTCTCCAACTCTCCTGCTTTCCTGTTTCTGTATATGGACTTGTGTAAATGGAGTCCCTTTATTACCTTAATCATTTCATCCAAAAAGGTGCTGTGAGAGGCACCTGGGTGGCTCACTTGGTCGAGCATCCGACTCTCGATTTCAGCGCAGGTCATCATCCCAGGGCTGTGGATCTGGATCCTCGCTGAGCATGGAGCCTGCTTAAGATTCTCTCTCTCTTCTTCTGCCCCTCTCCCTGGCTTGTGCTCTCTCTCTCAGTCTTGAAAATTAAAAAAAAAAAAAAAAGTGCTATGGGCAAAGATGTTTCGACAGTGGGCTGTAAAGTTTAAATCTTTTTTTTTTTTTTAATTTTTTTTTTCAACGTTTATTTATTTTTGGGACAGGGAGAGACAGAGCATGAACGGGGGAGGGGCAGAGAGAGAGGGAGACACAGAATCGGAAACAGGCTCCAGGCTCTGAGCCATCAGCCCAGAGCCCGACGCGGGGCTCGAACTCACGGACCGCGAGATCGTGACCTGGCTGAAGTCGGACGCTTAACCGACTGTGCCACCCAGGCGCCCCTGGGCTGTAAAGTTTAAATCTTAACCGACTGCTTCCTGAATCTGTGATTTGGTCCTACTTAACCTCAGGCCATTTTCCTCATCGGTAAAATGAGGATTATCATCCCTTGAACTTGGTTATGAGCATTGAGTAACACCATATATGTAAAACACCTGCCACACGGTCAACACTTATTAAATAGCACTTCTCATTATCTTTCCAGGCAAGGAATATGGATCACCATTTGAATGGCAGTTCATTGTGATATGTGGGGGTATAGCATGATACATTTACCACACATTAAATAATGTCTTGCCTTGACAGATGTTACGTTGTCTTTAATTGTCTCGCCTGCCACTAATGTGCATCCCAACATATTCATCTTTGCACATTTGTTCCATTGCCTCTCAAGGATAATTTCTGCAACAAGAATGGGATCCAAATGGATGGATAAGACAAATATACCCTGCAGATGGGTTGTACCAACTCACTTTAAGAGGGAGTTTCTTCGTGCAGGAAATGGGAGCAGGAAAGTCTCCCCTCCGGTTTCTCGTTCTTCCTTCTCTGCTACCTGTGAGAGGCAAGGTGCTTTCGAGAGGCCTCTACCACCCAACTAATTCTGCTAAAACTCCGCCTTTCTTCCTTCCTTCCTTTCTCAGATTAAACAACAACAACAACAACAACAACAACAACAACAACTTGTTTGGTGGGGCGCCTGGGTGGTTCAGTTGGTTAAGCATCAGACTCTTGGTTTCAGCTCAGGTCATGATCTCACGGTTCATGGGATCAAGCCCCGAGTGGGGCTCGGCACTGACAGCGTGGAGCCTGCTTGGGATTCACTCTCTCCCTCTCTCTCCCTGCCCCTCCTCGCCCCCAATAAATAAATAAACTTAAGGGAAGAAAACACTGTTCAGTGTCATAGCCAGGAGCCCCAGACCTTCTGTTACAAAAGGGTAAGATTAAAGGTGCCATCATCAGTGGATAACAAAACAAAACAACAATTGCTGGAACTCAGTTCTGTGGGTTCTGCTGTGTGTGTGTGTGTGTGTGTGTGTGTGTGTGTGTGTGTGTGTGTGTGTTGGATCTGTATGGTATGTTTGCACACAGGCAAATACAGATTTGGATGATTTATCTGGAAGAGGGTATGTGTCTAAGGGATTCATACACATATGCAAATATGTGCGTGTCTACATAGGTGTGTGTGTATGTGTATATGTATCTATGTATGTATGTGTATAGTATATATATAATATATGTAGACACACACATATACATATATATATAATATATATAATATACGTAGCCAAAATTTAAAGCAGAAAAATCTAACCCCTTCTTCTCAAGTCCCAGAGTGGTATTTCCTATAGAAGAATTAAAAAGGTCTTTGTTTTTTTCATGTTTACAAATACTACGGAATATCAAATGTTTATTTTTCTGATTTTCACAGACATTGCTGATCTCCATGTGACGTTTTTGTAACAAGCCTGTACCTTAAAACGAGACTAGGTGAGGGCTGCAGTCGGAGGTGGTGGGCAGCCAGAAAGGCATTTGCAATTGATTCGAAGGTGAATACTTGCAGCCAGCCCATTTCCAGGATTCCACGTTAGGACTACACCCCACCTGTGACTTCCCTGGAAAAACCCTCTGAACACAGAAACTCAGCTCCACCCTTCTTTGACTTCAGATCCATAGGAGAGATATAGAGTGGTTTTCATTATTTTTTAAAATTCAGTTTTACTCTCGATTTCTTTTTTTTTTAAATTTTTTTTTTCAACGTTTATTTATTTTTGGGACAGAGAGAGACAGAGCATGAACGGGGGAGGGGCAGAGAGAGAGGGAGACACAGAATCGGAAACAGGCTCCAGGCTCTGAGCCATCCGCCCAGAGCCTGACGCGGGGCTCGAACTCACGGACCGCGAGATCGTGACCTGGCTGAAGTCGGACGCTTAACCGACTGCGCCACCCAGGCGCCCCTACTCTCGATTTCTTAAGGAAAGCAGCCATGCGGGACTGAGTCGGGCCGATGAAGCCGGAACCAAATCATCTGGTTTATCTGCCTGGAGCGAGACTGGGCTCTTTGCAGCAATGCTGTTCCCCAGAGTTTTCTGGTTTGGCGTCAAGCCCCTGGGACAAAGCCTCACAGGGAAGCAGACCGTGCAATTGGGCAGAGGACAGCACCCCCCCCCCCCGGCCCCACCTTGTTTTTTTCAATGTAGTGGCATCTGTGGTTCGTGTCAATTCTAATAACGCTCAAGCCATCCCACCCTCCAGCCAAACATTAACAAGGAGGTAAGGTGAGAAGTCCATATTATTTTAAACACATTTTAAACACATTGAACATTTTCAGAAATGCCATGTAAGCTATCGCGGAATCCCCACCACCCCTAATACTTCACCGGATTCAGTGTTCAACCTTCAGTGGAAAAGAGCAACGCATCCGGAGCCCAGTGTAGTCCCGGCCCTGCTGCTAACCAGCTGTGCGAGGGGGAGCAGCTCCCCACACTCTGCTGTCCCCTCCCCGTGGCCACAATACAAGCGTTTTCCAGCTAACTCGTGGAGCAGCCACTGTAAGAACCAACGGAAAACATGAAAGCGTTTTAGAAATCTACAATGCAAGGTATTTATCACAGCTGGCCTGGTTTATGTGAATTGCCTGAGAAGACCTAGAAGGGAGGGGAGAGACGGATTTTATTCAGCTAGCTGCCCTCATCGTCCTCCTGAGCAAGACACAAGGCGAATTCTTCTCCGTCCACGCAAGCCGATCGGCACTTACGTACCGCCTGGCTCTTGCTCCAGCTCCTAAGTACCTCCAGGGAAGAAGATTCTATCCCACCCAGGCAATTCATTCCCCAGTTCAGAAATCCTCATTATCTGGGAGTTCTTTCAATGTCTACCCAGAGCCCCTTGCACAGCCAAGTGAATTAATTGCCTCTTATTTTGATCTCGGAGGAGATAAGGATTATCTCCTTCACCCTGGCCTGACCTTGCAGGCTGTTTAGATTCTTGCTCTGCTGCTGTGTTTTCTTCTTCCTCTCCCCAGTGAAGGAAAGCCAAGAATTTATTTTAGATGCTGTTAAGCGGAATATTAAGAATTTATCTTACGTGCAGTTCAAAAGATAATCTGGCAAGAAAGGAAGCGTCAGAAGGAAGCTGAGGATAGGCTTCTAGATAAGGGGAATATTTGCATGTTGCTAACAAAGCCGCCTATGGCGAGGGCTTCTCCTGATGTTGATCACTGAAGTCCCATCTAATGCCCAGGAAAGAACCGCCTGGAAGGCAGACAAAAGAAAACAATGTTTCACAGCAAGGACTGGAGCCCTGAAAAGTCTCTTGCCACCGGCCCAGCAAGGGTAGGGGTCCACAGTGCTCTGTTTTCCAGAATCTTCCTTTGTAAGACTTGAGAAGGCTCTAATGGCACTCAGCACAAAAGATTCAGGGGTACATATAACCACCCTCTGTATGTTACAGAAAGAAAAATGCAAAGATATTCTCGTTCTTCCCTTTTGCACCTACAAGAATGAACTCTCTATCAAAGCTCAGGGTGTTTTGTTTTGTTTTGTTTTTCCCCCTGGTAGTACTAAACTATTGAAATACATTCCAGCACTGTGATTTCGACAGTGAGGCTCTTATTTTTTTTTATTTATTTATTTATTTATTTATTTATTTATTTATTTATTTATTTATTTATTTTTTGCTTTCTAGAACAAAAGGGCTGCTGTCCATAAGGGGGGCCATTTTGAATTTGAGGAGAAAATGGGAAGGGGCAGGCATGGAAACTGCCACCGTCAGAGTCCACGTTGGCTTATATACCAAGGCAGAAACAGGACTTCTGAAGGTCACCACTGGCCTCCCATCACTGCCGTAGTAAGGCTTTCCTTGTGGCTGTTGTATGTGAGGGTGAGTCTCCAGGCCCAGAGTCACCTGCAAAGTCTTGGAAGCCAACCATCTTCAGCTATGTCAGCCCCTCAGCCTGTAGATCTGGGCACTAGGCCTGCTCTCGACATTAGTGGGGTCCAGAGCAGCAGCACGACTGGAAGCCCCCATCACCCAGCCTGCCCTACCTCTCTTTCCAACCCTGGTTCCATCTTGCAGTGAAGCTCTATCCATACCTCCTGCCCCCGGCAAAAGGCTGACCTCAGCCACAACCCAGATCCGTCAGGAACAATCCAACCTTAGGAGGATGGATCCAGGGAAGAGATCCACATAGGCCTTGCAAATTACCCTCTAACTCTGTGGGCAGGGAATTCCGAGATTCTGGGTAACCAGAGCATGTTCTAGAATAGGGATGGGAGTACGAGTTCCAGGAGGCACATCCTCTTGGCCCCCTGGTCTGTTTGCTCTGTGGAGGAAGGACGTACTTAGGTAGACAGGGTCTACAGCAGGGGCTTCTAAAACTCACTACACTTGCTGAGTGTAGGCAAGTTGCTTATTCTATCTCTGACTCAAAGTCCCCAATCTGTTAAGTGGAAATTATAGTAACACTTATCTCACCGGCTGTTGTGAGTGAATTCCTACAAAGCACTTAGAACAGTGAGAGCTCTCAGTGAGCACCCAGTGAGTGACAGTCCGTGTTCCAAGCAGGAAACCAGACACCCACAACTGCGTTCACATCCAGTCCCCTTTAAATACTCTCACCACCGCGCAGTTGCTGTGAACAGTATTCTAGACCAACACTGTCCAAAAGAAATATGATGCAATTAGTAAGTAATTTTAAATTTCCTAGTGGTTACATTAAAATTTTTTTTAACGTTTATTTATTTTTGAGAAAGAGACAGAGTGCAAGCGGGGAGGGACAGAGAGAGAGGGAGGCACACAATCCAAAGCAGGCTCCAGGCTCTGAGGTGTCAGCACAGAGCCCGATGCAGGGCTTGAACCCATGAACCGTGATATCATGACCTGAGCCCAAGTCAGATGCCTAACTGACTGAGCCACCCAGGTGCCCGGACCTAGTAGTTACATTTTTTTTTTTAAAGTAAGAAGAAAGGTGCCTGAGTGGCTCTGTGGGTTAAACATCCGACTTCGGCTCAGGTCCATGATCTCACAGCTTGTGAATTCAAGCCCCGCATTGGGCTCTATGCCGACAGCTTGGAACCTGGAGCCTGCTTCAGATGCTGTGCCTCCCTCTCTCTCTGCCCCTCCCCTGCTCTCTCTCTCTCTCTCTCAAAAATGAATAAACATTAAAATAAATTTAAAAATGAGAAGGAACAGGTAAAATCAATCTCATAATACATTTAATTTAACCCACTATATTTAAGGTATTGTCATTTCAACATGTAATCACTACAAAAGTTACCACTGACATATTTTACGTTCTTTTTTTGTAATAAAGCTTCCAACTTGTGTTTATTTTGTACTTACAGCACATTGCAACGTGGACTGGCCACGTTTTACCTGCCCAGTAGCCACAGGTGGCTCATGGTCAGCTTACTGGACTTTGCAACTCTGGATCGTTGCTACTCCAAGGGTGGCCTGCCACCCAGCCACCCCTGTACCGTCTGGTGGTTCACTAGAAATGCGGAATCTCAAGCCCTGAATCAGAATCTGCATTTCAGCCAGACCCCCAGGTGGTCTGCGTACGTATTAAAGTTTGAGCAGCACTATTGGCTGAAGGCAAACCGGGAGCTTGCAGAAAGCAGAAAGGAATGCTCTTCTCTTACCTTTCCTTCTTTGTGCCTCTTCCTCCCTCTGGCTTTCCAGAAGGTGCCAGCCCTGGCTCCATTTGAGACTCCTCTAGAGAGCCTGAAAAATACGATACCTGGACTCCGCTCCAGAGATCTTGATTTAATCGGTCCTGGGAGGAGCCCGGGCAACAGGTGTTGTTCAAGAAGTTCCACAGGTGACAGTGACGTACACCTGGGCAGAGAGTCACAGGCTAGCCCAACACTGTAGCCTCGTTCGGTCCTGCCGTGCGACGGGGTGAATACACCTGAACTCACATCCTAGAGGGCTTTGGAGTAAGACAGGTCGAGCAAAGCAGCTCACGTAAGCAGTCACAGCTCTGTAAAATTGCACAAATACTCCTAATTGTCCCACAGACTCCTAGTAATCGATGCCATACGTGAAAATAGTATCCCTCGGAGCAGCTAAGGCATTCTTAATTTGGCGGCTGCTGTGCGTTCCTAGCTCAGCTGATTCCCCTGGTGTGATGAAATATGGAGGGAATATACAATTCATACATTTATTAAATAACTAATTGTCCTAATAAAAGTACCCCTGTTCAACATATGGATATTGTTGGTCCTTTTCAGGAAACAGTTGTCTATTAATAAATAAACAGATAGTTACTGACTCCCTCCTGCGCCAGACCTAGTAGAACTGCAAAAATGTTTCCACATGGCACAGTCTACCTTCAAGGACTTCATCACCTCCTGGGGACTGACAGGGGTCTGCAGTTCAGGACAGTCAAGTCGTATCTGTCCTTCAAGTGTCTCAATCCGCCAAAAGTGGAGATCAAATCTAAAATCTTCGTTACCAGTACTTAGGATGTCCGAGGGATTTCCAACACCATCCCTTTTTTATAGTATAGTTAGCATTTTTTTTTTTTTAGTTTTATTTTTTTAAAATTTACATCCAAATTAGTTAGCATATAGCGCCACAATGATTTCAGGAGTAGATTCCCTAGTGCCCCTGACCCATTTAGCCCATCCCCCCTCCCACAACCCCTCCAGCAACCCTGAGTTTGTTCTCCATATTTATGAGTCTCTTCTGTTTTGTCCCCCTCCCTGTTTTTAGATTATTTTTGTTTCCCTTCCCTTATGTTCATCTGTTTTGTCTCTTAAAGTCCTCATATGAGTGAAGCCATATGATTTTTGTCTTTCTCTGACTCATTTCACCTAGCATCATACCCTCCGGTTCCATCCACGTAGTTGCAAATGGCAAGATTTCATTCTTTTTGATTGCCGAGTAATACTCCACATTTTCTTTATCCATTCATCCATCAATGGACATTTGGGCTCTTTCCATGTTTTGGCTATTGTCAATAGTGCTGCTATAAACATGGGGGTGCCTGTGTCCCTGCGAAACAGCACCCCTGTATCCCGTGGGTAAATGCCTAGTAGTGCAATTGCTGGGTCGTGGGGTGGTTCCATTTTTAGTGTTTTGAGGAACCTTCATACCGTTCTCCAGAGTGGCCGCACCAGCTTGCAGTCCCACCAGCAACGCAAAAGAGATCCTCTGTCTCCGCATCCTCGCCCACATCTGTCGTTGCCTGAGTTGTTCATGTTAGCCATTCCGACAGGTGTGAGGTTGGTATCTCCTGGTGGTTTTGAATAAATGTAATTTTAAATCATTGAGGGTCCAACTTGATAAGTCTTCCCCACTGTTTTGGAATACTGTCTATTTACCATAATAATGAAATGGGCACAGACAGGAAGCATTTTTCATTATGTAAATCACAAACACTGGGAAGGAAGACTTCTTGGTGCTGTACCGCCTTCCAGAATGTGGAGGAGGGGAAAGGAGATGCACACCTGTTCCTCTGCTTGCATTCTCTTGCCCAGTAGGGGATTCGGGAAAGGCAGAAGAGGAGAGAGAAAGGGTGAAGGATCCCAGCTGCAACAGAGCACATCATCCTATGTTGCTTGACGTCTCTCCCACTCAGATGGCACCTGGCATTCTTACTGTGACTATAGCTTGCAAAATGCATCTCTTTTTTTTTTTTAATTTTTTTTTTTAACATTTATTTATTTTTGGGACAGAGAGAGACAGAGCATGAACGGGGGAGGGGCAGAGAGAGAGGGAGACACAGAATCGGAAACAGGCTCCAGGCTCTGAGCGGTCAGCACAGAGCCCGACGCGGGGCTCGAACCCACGGACCGCGAGATCGTGACCTGAGCCGAAGTCGGACGCTTAACCGACTGCGCCACCCAGGCGCCCCCAAAATGTATTTCTGCCAAAAGTTTTGTGCAGATGTAAAACAGAGCGTCAAAAAGAGAGTGAGGAAGGCTAAGGGTAAGGGAGGAAATGTAAGAGAGAAGACGGCTCTGAAAGACTGCTTTGAGGTAGACACAAGAATCAGTGGGCCCCAAATGACAGCTGTTGGAGGCCACATAGATGCCCCACGCGCTGCCGAGCACCTACATTTTTTTCCAGCACTGCCTAGGCTGCCCTCACTGGAAACTGGCCTTCTTCCCAAAGCAAAAAGTCTCATTTGAAGAACCAATCAATTGGACAGCATACTGGTCATTCTACTGTGTTGCATTGAGCCTTAGTGTGGCTACCTTGGGGAACAGTGTAACAGACATCAGGTTGGCTGCTTACAGCCAAAGGGCCTGCCCGGCAGAACCCACGGCTGGAGCTGCACCTGTACCCTTGGCACGCTGGCTGTCCGCCCCACCCCTCTGGCTCCTGCATGCAGCCAGGTGACAGGGACTTGGCAGGCGCCTCTCTGGCTCTGACTTGCAAGCCTTTATCAGGGACCTGCTGCCCGCACTTGACTCTGGGAATGCAGACAGCATGGCCCACGAGACTGTAAATGTCAGGCTGCCATCGGCTGTCTTTCTGTGTGTATCATCGGGAGGGGCAGGGCTGATCTTAAGCAGACAGCGAGCACCATCATGGCAAGCAAAATGGGGACTTGGAGCCAATGGGGTATGATGAAAAGGCCTAACTCCCTCCTGTCCCCATTTTGGGGCACTGGCCTGCTGAGCCCATCTCCCTGGAAAATTGCCTTTGTAATTGCGTGACACCTAGGAAAGCATAATAGCATGTTTCCCCAAGTAGCCTCTCAGTGAAAAGAGACTAAGTCAGGAGCGAGGGAGAGAGAGGGAGGGGCAGGCGGGACACTTTGCCGCTGACACAGGTAGTAGCTGTTTCTCCATCTTCAGATGCTGCCAAGGTAAGTGAAGCCTTGTCTCGTTTGCTAAACGAAGGGCGAGCAGCTGGGGCGGGCAGACGGGGAGCGGGAAGCCTGGCCGTGATTCAGGCACACGGGGCTTGCTAAACCAGTGTGTTTTCGAAGGTGGCAGAAAGGGGAAGTGGGAAGAGAATGACTAATAAGGAAGTGATTATTAAATAGAACCTGTCTGCGCCTGGAAGCCCGTGTGACAGCCCCAGGCAGGAGAGGGAGCAAGCCTGTTATTAGGACTGACGAACACACAAGCGCTGCGTCACTCCAGGCCGCGCCACTGCCCCCATCTAAAGCCCCGTGCAAGTGTCCCTGCTGCCTCGGGAGTGGGCCACACAGGAACAAAGTACTGTAGACCGACACAGGACCTGCTCTGTCAGAGCACGTGCGGAAGAGGCCTGACACGAACAGAACCGAAGGGACGCAAAACGAAAGGATCAGGAGCCTAATTAGAAAATACAGCAACATTGGGGCGCCTGGGTGGCGCAGTCGGTTAAGCGTCCGACTTCAGCCAGGTCACGATCTCGCGGTCTGTGAGTTCGAGCCCTGTGTCAGGCTCTGGGCTGATGGCTCGGAGCCTGGAGCCTGTTTCCGATTCTGTGTCTCCCTCTCTCTCTGCCCCTCCCCCGTTCATGCTCTGTCTCTCTCTGTCCCAAAAATAAATAAACGTTGAAAAAAAAAATTAAAAAAAAAAAAAAAAGAAAATACAGCAACATCGCAGAAAACGCCAATTAAAGGGGGAAAATCCATGGTGTTCTACCTCCCCAACGAAGGTATTTTCCTCTTGCAGAAGCTCTTCTACAAAATTTTCTACATACACATTTCTACAAAATTTTCAGCGTGCTCAGAACCTCGTGCTGCCTTTTCCATTTGTCCCCATTTATAAACAGTTCCCAGTGTTATTTCATACTCTTCTTATCGTAATTGCTATAGAAGAGTCCACCTACTGGATATACCACAATTTGCTGAAATAGTCCTCTATTCTGTAGTAGGTTGCTTTCTTTGTAACAACAGCTTTATTGAGATGTAACACGGTTGAAGGGCACAGTAGTTTGGAGTAACTTTTACACAATCATCAGTAAGTAAAACAGGCTGGGAACATTCGCCATTACTGTTAGGAGAGTTTCCTGTTCTCCGAGAACGCCATGGAAGAGTGCAAGGGAGGAGAGGCAGGATTTTTCTCCAACCCCGCGTCGCTCTCCAGTTATTACCTAGTTATTGCCTCCTTTATGGCGAAACTTGGCAGCGTGCTTACATTTACTGTCCATCCTTCCTCACTTGGAGCTGACTCTTAGAACTGAGCTTCTGATCTTATTCCCCCTTGAAAACGCTCTCCCCGGGGTCACCAGCTCTTCGGCCCCCACCTTATTTGACCTATCGGCTGCATTTCTCTCTTAACCACTCCCTTCTTTAACCCGTCTTTTCCCTACATGCATTGAGTAGGATAGATATTGATTCGCCACATTTAAGAGACCCAAAGAAAAATCGTTGCTTAAAAAGCGTAGGATTTCACTTCCCTTTCATGTAAACACTGGAGTCGGTAATTTGGCTCTGCTCTGTGACACGGTCAGAGGCCCCGGTTTTTTACATCTTCTTGCTCCAACATTCCTGGCTCTTTCCCCTGTGTGCATGGTCCACGATGGCTCTTCACCGCTGCTTCATTCCGCCATTGGAAAAGGTGGAAAGACCGGGGAGAACGTGCCCCTTCCCTTTCAGAGAAATCACCTGTAGTCGCGAACACTTCTGTTCAGATCCCATTAGCTTGAACATAGTCATATGTAGCTGCCACAGAGGCTGGGAAATGTAGCCTTCAGCTGGATGAACATGAACCCTGTCAAACATTCTACCACCATGGAAGAGAGAACAGATGTTGGATCCACCCATGTGGATGTCATACCCACCCATGTGACTACTACCACTCAGACTTCTATGTATTTAGGGACATAATGATTTTTTTTTTTTTAATTTTTTTTTTCAACGTTTATTTATTTTTGGGACAGAGAGAGACAGAGCATGAACGGGGGAGGGGCAGAGAGAGAGCGAGACACAGAATCGGAAACAGGCTCCAGGCTCTGAGCCATCAGCCCAGAGCCTGACGCAGGGCTCGAACTCACGGACCGCGAGATCGTGACCTGGCTGAAGTCGGACGCTTAACCGACTGCGCCACCCAGGCGCCCCCATAATGATATTTTTTAAAGACGGGATCATACCGTATATGTGTGTTGGTAAACAGACCCCCCCTTCCCCTCGTTAGTGTATTGTAAAAGTCTGTGTCAATAAATACCCTTACATAACATGACTTTCCATGTTAGATAATGGAATAGCATATGTGTATGCCATAATGCCCTTTATTAACCGTTAGGTCATTTCAGTTTGTCCTTTATGAGTAATATGAGGATGGACATTCTTGTGATTTCCTTAAAATCAATTTCCTGATGTGGAAACGCTGGACCAAAAAATCATTTTGATAGCTTTTAATACCGGCTTTTCTTTAGTCCTAATGCTCAATTTTTCAACAAACCTGATTCAGGTGAAAGCCCTTTGTTAATTTAAGTGATTAGATTTTTTCTACTGGATTGAGATGTAATTACATATAATGAACTACACCCTTTTAAAGTGTGCGCTTTGGGGCGCCTGGGTGGCGCAGTCGGTTAAGCGTCCGACTTCAGCCAGGTCACGATCTCGCGGTCCGTGAGTTCGAGCCCCGCATCGGGCTCTGGGCTGATGGCTCAGAGCCTGGAGCCTGTTTCCGATTCTGTGTCTCCCTCTCTCTCTGCCCCTCCCCCGTTCATGCTCTGTCTCTCTGTCCCAAAAATAAATAAACGTTGAAAAAAAAATTAAAAAAAAAAAAAATAAAGTGTGCGCTTTGGTGACTTTTAACACGAATACACATGTGTGAAATCACAGCCACGATTAAGACATAGAACATTTCCATTGCCCCCCAAAGTCTCCTTATGCCCCATGTGGTAATTTCCTCCTCCTCCACATTGCTGATCTGTCTTGTCACCACACAGATTAATTTACGTTTTCTAGAATTTTATATAAATGGCATTATATAATATGTACCCTTTGCTTCTGGCTTCTTTGACTCAGTGTAATGACGGATATCAGCAGCGTGTTCCTTTTTATTGCTAGCAGTGTTCTGCTTCATAGATATGCCCTATTTATCCACTCACCCACTGATGGACATTTGTGTTGTTTCCAGTTTTTAGCTCATATGAATAGGACTGCTCTGAACATTTGTGTACTGGTCCTTGCGTGGGCATTCGTTTTCGTTTCTCTTGTGTAAATACCTAGGAGTGGAAGGACAAGGTCATACGGTAAGTGCATATTGAATTATCTAAAATATTTATTTATTAAATAGACATTTTTAGAGCAGTTTCAGCAACACTGAGTAGAAAGAACAGAGCTCCCATATAACTGTATGGCCACGCACCACAGCCTACCCCTATCAACATCCCTCATCAGGGTGGTATATTTGTTGCAATCGATGAGCCTACATTGACACATCATTACCAACCAAAGTCCATGGTTCACATTAGGGCTCACTCTCGGTGTTGTACATTCTATGGATTTTGATAAATGTATAATCACACATATCTACCATTATGGTGTCATACAGAATAATTTCACTGCCCTAAACATCCTCTCTCCTCCTACTATTCATCCCTCCCTTCCCACTGGCCCCTGATGATCACTGATCTTTTCACCATCTCCATGGTTTTGCCTTTTCCAGAATCTCATATAGTTGGAATCGTACAGTATAGAGCCTACTCATATTGGCTTCTTTCACTTAATCTGTCATGAAGTCTTCATAGCTTGATGGCTCCATTCTTTTCAGCACTGAATACTATTCCATTGTCTGGATGCACCGCAGTTTATACATCCATTTACCTACTAAAAGACCTTGATTGCTTCCGAGTTTGGGCTATTATGAGTAATGATGCCAGATGACTTTTCAGCTCATTTGACTTACAACCAAAGAACACAATTTCTGGGTCATATGTTAAGAGTATGTTTAGTTTTATGGGAAACTTCCAAGTGATCTTCCACGTAGGTCTACCATTTTGCATCATCAACAGCAGAGAATGAGAATTCTGTCTCTCCACATCCTCCCAAACATTTGGTGTTGTTGGTGTTCTGGATTTTGGCCATTCTCATAGGTGTGAGGTGGTATCTTATTTTAAGTTGCATCTCCCTAATGAAGTAAGATGTGGAGTATCTTTTCATATGTTTCTTTGCCATCTGTATGTATTCTCTCTCTTTTTAAAAAAAAAATTTATTTATTTTGAGCGAGAAAGAGAGAGTGGGGGGAGGGGCAGAGAGAGAGAGAGGGAGAGGGAGAGAATCCCAAGCAGGCTCTATGCCGTCAGTGCTCAAATGACTGACCACTCACAGGGACCCCGTATTTGTATGTATTCTTTGGTGAGGTGTCTTTTCAGGTTTTTCTGCTGAGATTTTAATCAGGTTGTTGGTTTTCTTATTTTTGAGCTTTAAGGGTTCTTTGCATATTTTGCATAATAGTCCCTTATCAGATATGTCTTTTGCAAATATTTTCTCCCAGTTCTGTGGCTTTTCTCTCATTCTCTCAACACTGTCTTTTGCATAGCATGCATTTTTAATTTCCATAAAGTCCAGCTTACCAATGACTTCTTTCATGTACCTTTGGTGTCGTATTTAAGAAATCATCGTCATACCCGAGGTCATCTAGATTTTCTCCTATATTATCTCCTAGGAGTTTCATAGGTTTGCATCCTACATTCAGGTCTCTGATCCATTTTGAATTAATTTTGGTGAAGAATATAAGGCCTGTGTCTAGATTCGTCTTTTTGCATGTGGATGTCCAGTCATTCCAGGACCATTTGTTGAAAAGACTATCTTTTGCATATTGTATTTGCTTCCATTCCTTTGTCAAATATCAGTTCATTGTATTTATGTGAGTCCGCTTTGGAGCTCTCGGTTCTGTTCTATTGATCTATTTGTCTGTTCTTTCAGTAATACCACACTTACTGTAGCTTTATTAAAAAACTAGGGGCGCCTGGGTGGCTCAGTCGGTTGAGCGTCCGACTTTGGCTCGGGTCACGATCTCACAGCTCATGAGTTCGAGCCCCGCGTCAGGCTCTGTGCTGATGGCTCAGAGCCTGAAGCCTGCTTCGGATTCTGTGTCTCCCTCTCTCTGTGCCCCTAACCCACTCGCATTCTGTCTCTGTCTCTCTCAACAATAAATAAACATCAAAAAAAACTTTTTTAAATAAATGAATAAAAGTCTTGAAGCTGGGGAGTGTCAGTTGCCCGACTTTGTTCTTCTCCTTTAATATACTATTGGCTATTCTGTTTTCTTTGGCCTTTCTGCATAAACTTTAGAATCAGTTTATTGATATCTACAAAATTAACTTGCTAGCAAATGTATTTAATGCCACTGAACCATATCTTTAAAAACGGTTAAAATGGTAACTTCTATGTTACATATATTTTACCATCACAACATAAATAAAGGAAAGAAGAAATAGAGCATATAGGAGATGAAAATATTTTCCTTGCCCTTCTTAGGGTCCCTGGAATTAAAGTAACAAGGACAGGTTAACAGAAGAAATGCACATAAATTTATTTAAGTTTTACGTGACATGGGAGCCTTCATAAGGAAATGAAGATCCAGAGGAACAATTAGACCTGAGTATTTTTAGGCTAGGTTTGATGACGAGTGGACAATCGTGGAGGAATATGATAGGTTAATATGTTGAGGTAAGTATAGTAAACTGGGGAAAAATTAACAAGACCTGTTTGGGGGGATTCTTTTTATAAGGTTGTTCCCTTCCTCCAGGTGTAGGGAGGGTACCTCTCACATGCGAGTTTTACGACCAGTTTCAAGGAAGAAGGGCGGCGGAGGGGAGGGGAGTCAGAGTGACCTTCCTGCTTTTGCCAGTTTCTCAAACTCTTTCAGCTTAAAATATATTCAAAATGCCAATATTTTGGCATTCTGTATTTTGGGATAGCATGTCCTGATCCCCAGCAAGGGCAAGAGAGAGAAAGGGGAAGGAAGAGAATAAGGAAAGCAGGCAGGCACACATCTGGGAACGGTCCTACGTTCCAACACAGCAGCAGAACGTGGTGTCACAAAAGTCTATGAAAAACTAAAGCAGCCCGTCTTCAGCCCTAAAACTGCGAATTCTCAACCCAAAAGGAAGTGTTTCATTTCGTTTCATTTGCATATTAATGCAATGCAAATAGCAGGAGGGTAGGACGGGAATGGGGGAGAAAACGCCACCAGCCAGTGAAACACTTGGTTGCAAAGTTGAGCACAGCACGTCAGTGTGAAGGGCGTGAAGGTAACAGACGAGGAGCCATAAGGTCTGGTGAAATACAGTCAGCTTATTCCAAAGATCTGAGGACAGACAGAAATGTTACAACAGACAGACAGCAGCAGGCTCGGTGGGCGTCAGGACGAGACAGGTCAGAGTTCAACTGAGGTGCTGTCCGTGACCGCGGCAGGCAGCGATGTGCGAGGGGGGACACACTGGCTGGGAAAGCCCCCACGCGCTGCCCGGAAAGGAGCGCTGGAGTGAACGCAAGGTTTCACATCTGCCCTGGAAGAGGGCGCAGAAAATTGGAACATACCCTTAAAAACTCACACTGCATGAACTGGTGGTTTGTTTCTGCACCCAGCTCTGTTGAAGACTGGAGTGCTATTTAGGTGTCTTTTTGCCTGAAAAGAAAAAAAAACAGTTTTGTTTTGTATTGGCGAGGCCAGAACAAAGACTTCTCTCTGAGATACTTCCGGCATTGTCTTCAGATGCTGTCTCTCGGGGTCTGCCTGGTTCCAATTGTGGACAGAATGTGTATTAGATGCTGTGTGCTTCCTGGCTGCGTTGGCCTTCCTCTTTCCCAGCAGCCATCTCCCACCCCCACCCCCCACCCCCGAGCTGGACCCTGCTTCTCATCCGTCTCTCCCTGCCATGCACCTGTTCTGGTGTTCTGTTCTACCCAGCCCTCACTACAAACGTAGAGAGAGAAGACTGGAGATTAAGGAGGTGCAAGGCAGTGGAAAGTATACCTTGAAGAAGCCGCAGACAGAAGAGGGCAGGGGTCTGATGATGGTGGCGGCGTGGGGGAGAATGGGCCATAATCCACCCGCGTGTCCGCCAGAGGTGAGGGATGGGGAACCACCTACTGCATTTTTGGACTGGTACTATTCCCTCTCTTCAGTTTCTTTCCCTTCAATGATAGTCACGTCCGGTTCATTCTCTCCTGGGGTCCGATTCTATGCAAGGTGACTATCTTAGCTCCCTAAGGCTGTCCTAACAAACTACTCCAGACTGGGTGGCTTAAAACAACCGAAATGTATGCTCTCATGGTGCTGGAGGCTGGAAGTCTGAAATCAAGGTGTCGGCGGCGTTGGTTCCTCCTGCGGACTCTGAGAGGGAATCGGCACTCAAACTGGGGGTTCGGGGATCCTGGAGGAACGAAGGATAGCTTAGGAGGATTTCAACATTTTGTCTTTGCGCTTCAATAAAAACCTTCAAGCACATGTACGCAAACAAACTCGTCCGGGTCATCTGGATGGACACGGGAGAACTGAATGCTGCTCACAATTTCAGCAGAAGTTTTTTTGCTCTTGTGTTTCTTACCTTTTGGGGGTGTCTTGAAATGCTGTTTGGCCGTCACGGGCTGCTGAGGAACGGGTGTAAGTCACAGAGGAAGAGGTCCCAGAGCAAATCCCACAGAGGCTGGCAGCTTACGCACATGGGAAGAGCCAGGAGAATGGAGTTGGGAAGCCCAGCTCAGGTGACAGGGGACTGCCATTCACCCCCCGACCCTGCAGTCCTGCGGGGCTGGCTCTTCCAGCCTTTCAAGAGGAGCGGGAACAGCGCATTTTAGGTGTAATATCTTCATTCTTTTATAACGGCAGCTAATTGGAAAAAAATGAATCCTATGAGGGTCAGGTGAAACACGTCCATCCATGGGCCACACGTAGCCTACAGCCCTCCAGGTTACAATGTCCAGACCCGAGAAAGGTTGTCGGCAAGTTGAACCATCGCGCGGCACATGGTGGGTTCGGGATGCCCGGCTCAAAAGAACCCCGTCCTAGAAACTGGTGTTTCAAGAAGGCGAATTAATTTCAGCAAAATAACAGCATTAATCACAAGAGCCAACTTTAGTTCTGTTGGTTTTTCTCGACTTGTACTCTTGCCTTTGGTCGTATAGTTGTAAAGAGTGTATTTATCGATATTTAAGAAAGGTCCTCATTTCAGTAATTTAAATCAATGGTGGGAATCTGTGGGATATTGTCATTTTCGAGTCCAAGAATTCACGTCCTATCTTCTCTAACCTTCACAGAAATCCTTAGGAATATGCATTATGATTCCCACTTTATAGGCGAGAAAATAGACTCAAAGAGGTTAAGCGAGCGTCCCAGACTCACATAACTAATTCCAGGCAGCGCTGGGATTTGAACCCAGGCAGGGCTGTCTCCAAAGCCCACGGTTTCAATACCGACTCCCTAATTAGCAGTGCTGGACTTGTGAATGATGCTGTGACTCTCCCACCTGAGTCCTCCTACCCTCTGAAAATTTAGGGTAGACAAGGGGAGTGGTCAAGACTCAGACATCCGGGGGGCGCCTGGGTGGCGCAGTCGGTTAAGCGTCCGACTTCAGCCAGGTCACGATCTCGCAGTCCGTGAGTTCGAGCCCCGCATCAGGCTCTGGGCTGATGGCCCAGAGCCTGGAGCCTGTTTCCGATTCTGTGTCTCCCTCTCTCTCTGCTCCTCCCCCGTTCATGCTCTGTCTCTCTCTGTCCCAAAAATAAAATAAACGTTGAAAAAAAAAAATTTAAAAAGACTCAGACATCCGGGATTCAGGTCTCCGAGGGACGATTTCAGAAGGGCTTAAGAGGAATCTGTGATCAGAACAGTTATCAACGATCTCTCAGTTCCGCCGCTGGTCATCTTGAGCTTTATGGCCTGCAAATCTAACCACCATTTATAATTTTGTTTTTATGGATAAATATCACACCAGTTCCAACAAACATTTGGAACCAGCGGAATGTAATCTAAACTGCTTATGGTCAGATCAGGTCTGTGGCTGATCAGGAATCTGCTGAGAAGATGGTATTTAAGTCCCTTATGGGTGGATTAGTGTTCTCTCTGACTCATGTCCCACACTGTCTCCCCCCCCCCCCCCCCCAGCTTCGTCTGCTACTGCATGAAGGGCCTGGAATCAGAAAAGTTTAGTATAGGCTCATCAGCACACCTGGGCAGAGGGACCTGAAAGACGTACGTACTTGGCCAAATACACTAACCCATGCATGGGGGAGAAACCGGGCAGGAAGTGCAGTAAAATTTTAGCAGTGGTTGTCTCTGGGCTGGTAGCATTGTGGGAGATTTAAATTTTCTTCTTTATGCTTTTCTACGATATCAAAACAATGTATTGCTTTTGATAGGAAGAAAATTATTTTTGGATGAAAGAGAAAGGCATCGATGAAAAAAAAAAAAACAACTCACTCCTGGCAGTGGGGAAGGAACACTATTGCCACACACAGCCATCTGTTACGTCTTTTTAAGTGTCCCCCAGTGGAAGAAGACAATAGGAGTCACAGATTGGATTTGGAGTAAAATTTGGACAATTGTGACGGCTGGATGCGTTCCAAGGCACTTGTTAAAGATGTCGGCAGCGACACACGTCTTTGTTTCTTCCCCATCGACTCCTATCCAGCTGAGCACTTACTCCTCCCTCCTTCCCCCCACCCAAGCCTGGGCTCTTTCCCCTCCTTCAAGGGACTGGCACTTGAAAGGGAAGTGTGTGTGGTCCCCCAAAATAAAGGTGGTGCCTGCTCCCTAATCCACTGTGGTTGTCCTGGGCGGAAGGCCCCTTCTGCCACCTGCTGCTGCCACGGGCATTGGTTTTGTACCCTTGGTGGGCATCTCTCCACACCGTAGGCGGCCATCATGTGAGCGTATGCGCACCTCCTCACTGACACGGGCCCTGCCTTGAACCCTTCTGCAAGCCATCAGTGGCTCCTTCTCTCAGGTACTAACATAACTTCCCGCTGGGGACCCATGCCCCCCACATCCACATCCTCCTTTTAGTATTGAGTCTGCAACCCCTCCCAGCCCTTCAAAGCCACCCCCCCACCCCATCTCAAATTCCCAGTCTCCACCTCCCTGCTCCAACCCTTCCCCATTTCGGGTAACTCCCAGCCCTCCTTAGAAGGGCCCCCAATGACCAAATTGACCAAATAGAGACCTGCGTGGGGGTTGCCTTTTCAGCAGCCTTTAAACCACAGAAAAGCCAATCATTCTCCACGGGAGAAGTGGGCCCAGAACTAAAGAACACAAAATCCTGGAAAAGGAGGAAATTGCTTTACTCTTTTGCTCAGGAGTCGAAAGCAGCAAAACGAATCACTAACTGGGTGCTTATGTGCAAACAAAATCTGTAACTACAGAAATGACTCCAATTGCCCAGGTTATCTGGGCGTAGGGGAGGGGCAAGGGGACCGTCTCCTCCTCCCAACGTATTCCCCAATGTCGCTTGCCTTCCACATGTTATGTGGTAGAAAGCACGGAATGTCAAATTTACCGTCTTCACCGTGTTAAAACGTACAGTTCAGTGGTATTAAGTCCGTCCACACTGTTGTGCAACCATCCCCGCCGTTTATCACCAAAGCTTTTCTTTTTCATCTTCCCAAACTGAAACTCTTGACCCATCAGACACGAACTCCCCCCCCCCCCCGCCTCCCC